ACATGGACATGTTCAGGACAAAGCCTCTTTAAATACATGTTTATTTATTTAATTATTTTTACAAACAGAAAAGGTCACGGCACCAAATTTGAAGATAAGCGACCCGTCATTCACAGTACATAGTTACAATTTATGGTACATGTCAACTTCCCTCACAAAGCTAACAATGAGATGTCCGCTGACACGCGGAAAACAGGTCTTTCAGACTTGTAGCTTCATAATGCGAATCGCTTGCAGTCGAAAAGTCCACGCAATCAAGCAGTATATATGTTTGATGGTGAACACTTCGTCGCAAGAGACATATAGGAGGTCCATCTCCATCCGTTTTGAGCAGATGGTTATGAGTAAATCTGTGGCCAATACGACATAGAATTACCTCATCACGTCTTGACTGACAACCCAAGTACGTGTAATCGTTTAACTCCCAGGGCCCCGTTTCACAAAGCTCTCGTATGCCTAAGATGTCGTAACATTTCTCGTAGGAATCGTACCTCCTGGGCCTAGATTTTCGAAGCTCTCTTAGCGCTAAGATAGTCGTAAGTGTCATACATTAACATTAGCTTACTGAAGCATATAGACTTACGACATTCGTAACGATACGACAGCTTTGTGAAACAGGGCCCAGACGCGTAGCAAACCATTTTTATTCGTGTAAGTCCGATGGGTTGCAAAGCTTTATATTTAGATAGCATTGCCGGACTGCCCAACTTTCATAGTGATCTTTAGCAAAAACATGTAAGCCCGGGATTTTTAAATAATGGTGGCTGCGCCCTGACGCCGCTTTGACCTGTGTTCAAGTTATATTATCATGCGATGTGGAGGAAAGCAGGAATGGTGCAAGTCTCAGATGTTTATCATTCTCGGTGAAAACCACGGGTGATTAGAGCGAACGAAGTTCCTGGCGTGTCCAAGGGACGCAACTCTGCACAGCTAATTGTCTTACATGTCCAGAAACGCCGCTATGAACAGCATTCCAGTAACATGAGGGTGCCATCGTCTTGGGGAGAAATTCTTTAACATCCTTTATTTGTTGTTTAACGCCACACTCGTCCAACCATAAGACGATGATGTGCAAAAGTCACGATTCCACAGGGCAATCCGATGATTGACATTATGAGCATGGATTAGCTCATTCTGGACACGAAACATGGATGCACCACCACCAAGTCAGCAAGTCTGACCACCTGAATTCCTTAGTTTCTTCTTTCCGAAGACCAATTCCAACACGCATCTTCACGGGTCTCTTACAAACGAGCATGTGTTTTATCATCAGGATGTTAAAAACGTCAAATGACTCTTGCCCAGACAAAGCTTACAACCTGTAAAGATGACAGTGTGATAAGCAAAATATGTCAAATTTGTAACAGTAATAATTTAAAAATGAATTATATTTTTTACTTGTTTGTGATACATATGCAAATTTGAAAAGCAAATAGCTCCCAGATTTTAATTGTCCATATTGTCTATATAAACTGAGGGGCAAAAGAAACGTCCCCAAAGTAAAATTGTAAAAACATTTCTTCTGTTTTCGTTATGACGGAAATTTATTTAGGAACACATCTCCCGAACGCATCCCCCACGTCTCACAGAAAGGAAATCCACGTGGAGTTTTTGTAAGCATGAAAATTGCTTTTATTCACGTTTTTGCATGCTTCTGTGGAAACATACCCGTATGAAAGTACAGTATAAAATTATGCTCGACTGTTCGAATTCATCACTTCAATACGTTGGACACAAAGAACATGCCTCGACTCACGGCAGAACAGAGAGAACGAGCTATTGGGATGTTGCAGCTGGGTGCTTCTCACAGTCACGTTGCAAGAATCATGGGTTGCAGCAAGAAAACCATCACCAGACTGATGACACGCTTCAGAACAACAGGTCGGACTGCAGACAGGCCTAGGACAGGGGAGACCAACCGTAACCACCCCTCAGGAAGACCGCCATTTACGGGTGCTTCACTTGCGCAACAGATTCCTGACTGTGACGTCATCAGCAACAACCAGCCTTACCCATCCAGTCAGTAGAAGGACCATATCCAGACGACTCCGCCGATTCGGTATCAGAGCCTACAGACCATTCCGGGGCGTGACGTTAACGCGTGAACATCGACGTCGTCGATTGGCTTGGGCACGTAGAGTTCGGCAGTGGCAGCCGCGGAACTGGCGCCGGGTACTCTTCAGTGACGAGAGC